TGCTGGGATTACAGGAATGAGAGCAACTGTGCCCAACCAAGAAATTTTAATAAAAACAGAAAAAGTCACTTTATTTAAAAGGTTGCCGGCCGGGCGCAGTGGCTCACGCCTGTAATCCAGCACTTTGGGAGGCCGAGGTGGGCAGATCACGAGGTCAGGAGATCGAGACCATCCTGGCTAACACGGTGAATACAAATACAAAATCTTTACTAAAAATACAAAAAATTAGCTGGGCATGGTGGTGGGCGCCTGTAGTCCCAGCTACTCAGGAGGCTGAGACAGGAGAATGGTGTGAACCCGGGAGGCAGAACTGGCAGTGAGCCGAGATCGTGCCACTGCTCTCCAGCCTGGGTGACAGTGAGACTCAGACTCAAAAAAAAAAAAAAAGATTGCCTTGTGACGGATTATTAAATATATAGTAAAATATTAAGTAAGAATATTTGAAGATAAAATATAGCCACTCTAATAATGAAATTACATATAAACAAAACTGCATGTATATGAAACTGCACAAATACACTCAGAGAAGACAGAGGATTAAGGGAGATTTAAGAAAATAACCTCTGAATTATTTTATTATACTTTCTATAAATGCTGTTTAGACATCTTTAATCAAGTAAGAACTAATCACAAAACAGAATAGTAAAAATTCTAACAGGATAAAGCAAAGTCAGGTTAGTCCAAGTTCTCAAATCACGTGATTTTAAACAAGTAACTTTACAGATATTGATGAGTATGATGAGAGTAAGAAAAATGTAGTATGTGCCATCTTTTGTGCTAAGTGCTTTATGAGCAATGTTTCATTTAATATTCCATACATAATAATATTATCCCTACTCTAGAAAAGAAAAAATTGGGTCTTAGACTAAGAAATTGACTCAGGATCACAACAGCTACAGAAGTAGCAGAACACAAACAAAAACAAAGGTTTTTCTAACCCTAAGTCCATGTCCTTAACTATTATGTGCACCACTTTCCCTCAAGCTCTCTAAACCTTGATTTTCTCACCCATTACATAAGGGGAATGCACAGTACTCTAAACTATTCTATAGTTCATTCTGGTTTTTTAAGATGTTGCCATTCTAGTTGTCTGTCTAGTTGTCTAGTTGTCACTCCCTTTTCCTCAAATAAAAGAACATTAAGAGGTCTAATTGGCCTCCTTGCTGAAACTTGCTGAAAGTCAATAAAGTTATCACTAATATACATAATGTAGAAATCTATTTATTAAAACAGACAAAATGGCCACAATTTGTAAGTAAGGTAAATTTGAATGTTTAGGATATATCACTGATCTTTATGGTTGATTTCACGTCCCTTGTGTATCTGTAAAGGAGTAAGCCAAAAGTTCTATCAGGAAGAGGGAGGAAAGCTAAAAAAAACTGAATTTAAATTTCATAATCCTTTTAAATTCAAATAATGCATCGTTTTATAGGTGAAGATACTGAGGCACAAAGAGGCTGACTTGCTGGAAGTCACACCACTAGTACACAGTGACGTTAGTACTTGAACTCTATTGGTTCTAAAATCTAAGCTCTTTTCTATCCACCCTGCTTCCTGTGGTTAAATTATATTAATTTATTAATATCCTTATTTCAATTTTAACATAAGAACACTAAAGATAGTAATTGATTTAGCACTTTCTGCTTTATCATGAATGCCAACAAACATTTGCTGAATATAGTAAGAAGATGGGTATTAAAATAAGTATCTTAAATACAATTATGTTATCAGTAACACTGGAGTAATAAAAATTAAGCATTACCAAATTATTAGGAACAGAGAACTAGGCTGATTAGGGAACACCTCAGGGAGATGATTATATGTGGATATGCTATTAGAGAGAAAGTTTGATTTCACCAGAAGAAATTATTTTTAAGTGTGAAAATAAAAACAATATTCTAGGTAAAGAGAATAACATGAATGTTAAGTGTGGAGCCAAAACGTGTATCCAAGGTAGGGAACGTAGTCCACATTAGGTAGAGTATACCATTCTTATTCTTGAATAATAGAAAATATGCTGAAGACAGCCTGGGCACAGTGGCTCACTCCTATAATCCCAGCACTTTGAGAGGCCAAGGTGGGTGTATCACTTGAGTCAGGAGTTCGAGGCCAGCCTGGCCAACATGGTAAAACCCTGTCTCTGCTAAAAATACAAAAATTAGCTGGGCATGGTGGCGCGTGCCTGTAATACCAGCTACTTGGGATCATCTGAACCCAGGAGGCAGAGGTTGCAGTGAGCCAAGATTGCACCGCTGCACTCCAGCCTGGGCAACAGAGTGAGACTCTGTCTCAAAAAAAAAAAAAAAAAAAAGGAAACAGAAAAAAAAGAAAATATGCTGAAGACAAACTGAGGAAGGATCTTAAATACCAAGTTAGAAGGCCTGGATTTGATCACACAGAAAATGAGAAGCCACCACACGTTTTCTTTTTTTTTCTTTTTTCTTTTGAGACGGGAGTCTCGCTCTGTAGTCCAGGCTGGAGTGCAGTGGCGCGATCTCAGCTCACTGCAAGCTCCGCCTCCTGGGTTTACGCCATTCTCCTGCCTCAGCCTCCCGAGTAGCTGGGACCACAGGCGCCCGCCACCTCGCCCGGCTAGTTTTTTGTATTTTTTTTTTAGTAGAGACGGGGTTTCACCATGTTAGCCAGGATGGTCTCGATCTTCTGACCTCGTGATCTGCCCGTCTCAGCCTCCCAAAGTGCTGGGATTACAGGCTTGAGCCACCGCGCCCGGCCGCCACCACACGTTTTCAAGTAGAGAAATAAAAGGAACCGAGCAATGCTTTAATCAGATTAAACTGGGAGTTGTGTACAAGTTTCAATGGAATTGATAATGGCCAGGAAGAAGGGAGATCAGTTAAAAGGTTTTGACATTTATATACATTGTGACATCAAAGAAAAAAACAGAAATTCTCCTGACTTCTGAAAATTTTGATTAAAACATATATAAAGTGTATATTACATAATAAATAAATAGCTACTACACTTCAGCTCTGAAACAGCCCATAATGTAATCCCCCCTCTAACCATAACATTTTACCTTTAGTTCTTACTATGTCATCTCATTATACCAGTTTATGTATCTATGACTAGTCTCCTGACCTCTCTACTTCCTTTGGATAAATCAGCCCTTTCCTGGCCTCATTTTATTCCAGCCACATGGTAAACATATATTTGAACTACTCTCTCACTAGTACTCTCAACCTGAATCAATGTTGAAATCTACCCTCTTTTCTTAACTCAAAGGGCTGGCAAAAGCCTCACAACAGTGACATAACAAAGTTAAGGTTTCTAGTATCAGTCACTTATGAACCTCTCAAATGAACACTTCTTGCTCTTTAACTGATATTTAACATCTAATAATATTAAATATCACTTCTCTTCCTGAAATTCTTGGATTTTGATCAGTTGCAATTAATTACTCTCTTAATATTACCCTAAAAATAAACTGTGGGAAAAAAATTTAAAACAAAAATAAGCTGTGGGAGTCAGCATTTTTCAGTTTTAAAAAAGGTTTCATTTAATGCTAATGTTAACTTCTTTGGTTGTAAAGCACTAGATGCTGAACAGAAGGTTTCTATAGAAATATGTCAATATTTTCTTATGAAATATTCAGTTAGGGCAATAAAGTTCTAATTAAGAAAAAATAAACAAGGAAAGAGCTACAGATCAAACAAAGCTAAAATGCTGCCTTAGGAAAATGAATAAATATGCTATAAGTATTAGTAGACAAAATTATGATGATAAAGCCTTTAAAAATAAAATTTCTCTCTAGCCTCTGCAAAATGTTAAACTTAACAAATGAACCAGTTTAAAAAAAAATGATTGAACATAAATACAAACATTATCTATATGTGAATTTATACTTCTAATAATGCTTCTGGATTTAATGAGTTAAATTAAAACAGAGTTAAAGAAGCAGCAGGATCATGGAGTAAATAATTTAGTACAAATTTATCTGTTATTTAAGAGAATTTTTTTTAAATGATATAACGTTCATGATTATAATTCAGATTTTATCACTTAGAATTTTCTAATGTGGATAAAGGCCCTGGTAAAGTTTTTCTTTAGGTAATATATGTCCTTATACACAACAGAAATTAACACTTAAAATTAAAAAGTATCAGTTCCTTAAGAGAACCATCTTTATCAAAAAATGCTCTATATCTGGAAGACTCTACAAATCCTATAAATATCAATAAGAAATTTAAGCAAGATGCCTAAAAACTCTACCAAGGCTATATATATGTGGGGTGTGTGTGTGTGTATATATTTTATATATATATATATTTTTAGACCAAGTCTCTCTATTGCCCAGGTTGGAATGCAGTGGCACAATCTCAGCTCACTGCAACCTCCAACTCCCAGGTTCAAGTGATTCTCCTGCCTCAGCCTCCCGAGTAGCTGGGATTACAGGTGTGTGCCACCATGCCCAGCTATTTTTGTATTTTAGTAGAGACGGGGTTTTGCCATGTTGGCCAGGCTAGTCTCAAACTCCCGACCTCAGGTGATCCACCCACCTCGGCCTCCCAAAGTGCTGGGATTACAGGTGTGAGCCACCACGCCCAGCCTACCAATGCTACATTTTCATAATCTTTCCTTAATAATTCATTACAATCTCAAGTAATTTACTTTTATATGTATTTCCTAATGTGGAATCACCTTAACCTTTCTGCCATTTTTCAGTAAAACTAAAAACTCAAAACAGATGACATTCAGAGTTTAACTCACACTGAAATAATTTAGTATATTTAGGCCTATAATTTCAGTTGTAAATTAAAAGTAATTTTCATTTTAAATGTTTTTTAAATCCTTTAAAGCAATATTTTAAAAGTATTTAAATAACTAGCTAGAAGTATAAGATATGATTCATTTAAAATGTTAACACTCAACTGGCTAGCAAAAGAAATAATAATTTCAAATTATAACTGTTTTCTAGGTCAATTCTCATTCTCAGAGAAAACCAAACTTCCTTAAAAGCTTAACTATCATTTTGGTCTTACTGTGATCAATGTGGTCAATCTTGTGACATCACTGTTGGGAAACCTGCAATAGGAAAACAGAATTAGCAACCAGCTGAAGCATACTTAAGAAATTTCAGAAACTAAAAAGTTTGTTCAAAATTTGTGTCTTTCTTGATGCCATAAGTCATACTGAAATTAACCTACAGTATCAGGGTCCATATAATTAGCATGACAAAAATAAGCACAAAAGGACTGGAGTTTATTTATAGATCATTATTTATTATAGTATGGCAGGTCATGTTTTTGTTTATAATCACCAACACCCTAGGGTGAACATAACATATTAAAAAATAAACTATAGGACATTTGGGTTACAAGTTTTATTTGTCTTCAAGACAAATAAAAATGTACTAAGAAGAGCAAAACAATATCTTAAATATGTCACAAACTGAAGACAATTAGGTATTATTTATAAATACTTTTCTGTCTATGATTATCAGTACAGATGAGAACCAAAATGTCATCTACTTAATACTGGAGACATTACCACAAGCTAATGTTTATGAATAGTGACAAAATTATCAAAAGATTGAAAATATCACTGGGAATAATTCAGAAGAGGAAAAAAATATTTCCGAAGCTATAAATGGCTTCCAGTTTATCCCTGTGAAATCTAAATTTTTAGAATTTTGTTGTTGTTTTTTCAAGACAGGGTCTCACTCTCACCCAGGCTGGAGTGCAGTGGTGCGATCTTGGCTCCCTGCAACCTCTGCCTCATGGGTTCAAGCGATTCTTGTGCCTCAGCCTCCTGTGTAGCTGGGACTACAAGTGTGCACCACCACACCCAGCTAACTTTTTGTATATTTAGTAGAGACAGGGTTTCACTATGTTGGCCAGCCTGGTCTCGAACTCCTGGCCTCAAGTGATCCACCTACTTTGACCTCCCAAAGTGCTGGGATTACAGGCAAGAGCCACCGCACCCGGCCTGGAAATTTCTTTATTAACAAGTCTAATTTGAGATGAGCCCTTAAACGTTTAGTGTTAAAAAGTAAGACATGGTTATGGCATTTTAAGGTTCCTAATGGGCTTTCAGGTGTTATTTCATCAGATCCTCATAACGATTCCTTCAAAGGGGCAGGAAAGAGATATTCCTTATTATAGACTCCAGGAAAACAGAATTTAGAAATGATACATGACTTGTCTAAACACAAAGAACTGAGTTTTTCCTGGTTTCTCTTTTACCTCTGACCTTTCACCTAGTCCACCCTACCAACTACTCTTCCTCACTCTGTCCTTAATTCAAAAACTATTACTGCTAGTTACCTTACTAGTTCATGATTACTGGCTCTCCTATATTACCATTATAGCCTCCCTACTTCTATTTTTTTTTTTTTTCCTGCCTCAGCCTCCTGAGTAGCTGGGACTACAGGTGTGTATCACTACACCTGCCTAGCATTTTTTTTTTTTTCTGTAGAGATAAGGTCTTGCTATGTTTCCCAGGCTGGTCCTGAACTCCTGGCCTCAAGTGATCCTCCCACCTCAGACTCTTAAAATGCTGGGATTGCAGGTGTGACCCACTGCACCTGGCCACTACTAATTTTTAATGTAGATTATAACACTTCAGGCCCACGCCTGTAATCCCAGCACATGGGGAGGCCGAGGCAGGCGGGTCACCTGAGGTCAGGAGTTCAAGACCAGCCTGGCCAATATGGTGAAACACCACCTCTACTAAAAATAGAAAAATTAGCTGGGCGTGGTGGTGTGCGCCT